AGAGAGAGACAGCCCCTTAGCACATGACGAGGACTCTCTTTCATGGGCCCGCACTTGGCTTCATACCCATGGAAGTTTAGAAACATTCTGGTCTTCATCATGGACAGGTGAAATATATTCTCTCAGCAAACCCTTGTGCATTTTGGAACAGGCTCTACATTTAGAGACCCTCAGGGGCAGGGTGACCTCTTTGTGGCTTCTGCTCCTCAGACCCCTCACTCTGGGCCCTGAGAAGCCTGTGGTGAATGTGGTGAGCTGTGGGTGAGCTGTGGCCCAGAGCAGGACTTTAGGAAGCCAGGGCCACTTAGGCCTTCCCATCCATCACATCTTCTCTCCAGCCCTCTCCCCCACTAAGGAGTCTCTGATGAACCTGTTCACAGAGGCTCTAAATGCCTGCCCTGCTGTTCGGATCGTTTTGGTAATGCTGGTTTGTGGTGGGAGCTAAGAAAATAGCATTTAGGCCCCAGTGAGTGCTCTACCTGTGGAGAGAGATGTTTCAATAAAGAAGGGTTTAGTTTTTAGCAGCGCTTTCTGCAGACATCAAAGCAGGACTCCTAGGATTAAAAGTTGATCACGTGCATGCATATGTGTGTATACTAGCACGTGTGTGTATATGCATGTATGCCTGTGCTCCCGTGCTTGCGTGTGCACGTGTGCCTGCATATATGTATGCACTGGGCATGACGAAATCTGTATGCGGTTCTGTCTGGGGGAGATAACGCGAGCCTGCTCGGAGACATGAGGTATGAGTTACGAGGGTGTACAGTTGTATCTGTGCCTTGTTGGCGTCTGCACGTCTGTGAGTACATGTGTACATGTAAGCATATTTGAGAAGGTCATCCCTATGAGCTTGCCTGGCTGTGTCCAGGAACGCATGTGATGTTCTGGAGTGTATATTTGGGTGTATGCATGCATCCGTGTGTGGCATGGGTCATAATTAGATGAGCTGTATAAACTTTAAACGGAAAACATGGGCTTGAAGGGACAGAGTGCCATGATCAGAGAGGGCAGCATCAATCCAGGCAGGCTGCCTGGTGGAGGTTTTTTCTGAGCCCTATACTTACCCACTCTTCCCCCAGATGGGACCAAGAGAAAACCGAAGACTGGCCTCCTTGGGCCTGTGCCGCTGCCTCTCGGGGAGCCAAATCAGCTAGAGCCAGGACTCAGCACAGCCTAGGAGACCCCTGCTAAAGAGCCCCAGTGGAGAGTTTTCAGTGGGGCAGGGGGAGGCTCTGAATATCCTCAGGCCTGCATTCTGATTCCTGCCTTTGGCTTCTTGTCTCCATCAGCCTCAGGCACCCAGCCCAGCCCAGGGCTTTGTGGAGAGGGGGCTATGGGTGTGCGGAGGCCCTTTACTTTCTGCCTCAGGTAGCAGCCCTGTGTCCAAGGAGAACATTCCTAATTTCTCTTTTTCTAGCAAGAACCGCTGACCATACACAATGGGAAAGTCCCGGATGTGTGCCCCCGGACCTCCGTGAACAGACAGGCACATACTGGTCTGGTTTGCTGAGACTGGGTGTGGATTGCAGAGTGAAGACATGATTGGAGGTCCCAGTCTCTCCCTCTCTGTCTCTCTCATGGGACAAATAAACAACCTTAAAGAACAGCTGGCCAATGGATGGACCCACCATGGGGCCATCAAAGCCACTCTGTGGAGTTTTTGCTTTTTTTTGGAGAGGTTTTTGCTATAGGGCGCATGTGTTCGCCTGACAGAGAGAGACAGAGAGACACAGCGAGAAATCACCCCCCAGGGGGTTGGCCACACCACAATCCCTTCTCCTCCATTCTCCTCTCGGGATCCTGGGCACGCACGCACACTCGCCTGGCATGAGTTTAAGCCACCAGGTCCGGGACTCAAACCGTGGTCGACTACATGGGAGTCCAGCGACATAGCCATTACGCTAACTGCTGGTCCCAAGTTTTTACTTTTTAATAGGAAAATATACAGTGGCACTCATCCACTTTAAAAATGAAAAACAGAGAACATAAAACTTGATTTAATAAAGACACCAAATAATAAAATCTTCTTCTGTTCCCTGTTATGGTAATTGAAGGGAGAGTGACAAAAGGGTAGGGAGGCAGCAAAGAGAGAGGGTGGGGAGGGGCGGGGG